ATGTTTAGCGATAATGATAAATACTATAAAAACATAATCTCAAAGTGACAAATCTAATTAAATAATTTTAATTGTAAATTTAAATTAATAAAATTCTCTAATTTGTGCATTAATTAAATATATTATAAATAAATAAAATAAAATGTGATTAAATTTTATAGTGATTTAAATAGACTATATAATATTGTAATTATTATAATTAATTAAAATGCACAGTAATTTTTAATTGTTTCAAAACAACGAGTTATAAATTTAAATGAAATAATAGCCCGACATCTGAATCAACAATTCTTTGTATATTTTTAATGATAATTTCTTAATATTTTTGATAATGTTTTTTGTTAGTAATTTTAAAATCAATGGTTTGTTTAAATTGTTTTATTAATTAATGCTTTTCCGTTTGTATCGTTTAAACCGGTGGTTTTAATCAATGAAAATAATCATGGTAATGATTTGTTATACAATTATAACTGTTAACTAATTTACTACTTTAATAATCATTGAAACTATAAATTCTTTGATTTCTTAAAATGAAAATAAACACATTTAGAAATAATAAATTGTTTGTTTGTTTGCGTATAAAATACAATAATAATATTAATATTTAATATAAACTGTACATTAAACAATGTGAATACGATTTAATTATACAATATATTTTTAATTTATTTTATTTGGAAAATATTATATACAATTGAATAATTTTAATAATAATTATATTTAGTTTTGTTTTATTAAACACTTTATGATGGCATCGATTGACACACTTTTTGCCATATTTAATTGACTTATATATTAAATTACCTGACAATTGTGATCAGCACCGATTTGGACAGACCAAGTACAAACCTGAGGTTGAGATCTTTATTAAATATTACGCAAAATATTAAATATAAATTATATTATATAATATACATTTTAAAACGTTCTGATAAGTCATAATAATTGATCTATTCTAAACCTATTTTAAATTAATTGTCACTAAATACAAAACATAATTATGCATTATGATTTTACTACAATGCTCTTCTATTATTTTTATTACATGATTTTGATATTATTAAGAATTAATGTCTAATAACCATGTTAGATTATAAATAATTTAAAATTTGCCAAAATTACTATCAACTTTTAAAATATTTTTATCATAATAGCCGTGGTAGATCTATTTAAATCATGTGTTATAACAAAATAGTTACCTATTAAAAATTAATTAATAATTAATTTTAAAATTATATTTTTTATTTGACACAAGTATACATAGACTTAAAAAATACTTATTTATAAACATCATGTGTTTTGTACAATTAATAAAACCTCCCCTATTAGTTGGCAATTTTATTAAAATAACCACTTTAAAATCATACAAATTAATAATTAACATCAAACAAATTAATTAAAGTAATATATACAATTATATATAAATTTTTAAACATATGGTGTGGGAGATACAGAAATTAAATTAAGCTGTAACAAAATTAAAACATTGCATTTATTTAATACAAGACAAATAATTTAGTTTAATTTTGGAATCAGAAGTTGATCAGGATAATTTTATAATAAGTTGGTATTATTTGCATTTCATTTTACCCAAAATTTGTGCCAAAGATTTTAATAAAATGGCCGAACCATTGTATAAACATTGTTTTTATATACACTGATTACCACTTGATAAATAATTTCAAAATAATTTAGCTGGCAAACAAAACAAACAAGTTCAAATTAGTTAATTGCATAAATCAAAATATATGATGATCATATAATTAAGATTGTGTTTTTACATTTTTATTGTTATTTATTATTAAATCAATACATTATTTTTGCTTTTAAAAATATTTAAACCTAGTTTGCATTATATTTTTAAATGATTGGCAAATCTATGCAATCCATTGCAAACAAAATGAAACATAAATACATAATAAAAGTGCAAAATAACCCTTATTATTATCGTTGATTTTATCTTATTAAATATTTAGATATAATTTTGGCCCAAAGTTTATCACTATTATTTTATTTGTTTATTAATAAGATTACAATAAATAACCTATTTTAAACCTTGTTTACTAGATAAGTAAAGTTAGAATAATTCAGAAAATGACATATTGTGTTAACTAAATAAAACAATTTTGTAAATTAAATTATTATTATTCCTTTCAAATAAACATGCCTAACATACTTTATTTGATAAACATTTTATTTTATTTATTTGATCAGTTTAGTATAATTATAATTTAATTAAGTACAAATGTATATTCTAGTTAATGATCAATTAAATGGAGTTTATTTTATTGTTTTTAAATAAATGTTACATTTAACGTTCTGTAGACCTAGAATAAATATTTAACAATAAAATAATATAAGTCATAATAGTTTAGTATTTATTTTGCTTCAAATAAAATAAATTTATATTATATCATATAATTTATATGTAAGTAATTATTACATATATATTTTATGGCATTGGACATGTTACATGGGACATTGTGTGTTCATGCGTTTTGCACACACCACGATCAAGAAATGTTTGCGCATTATTTACCAGCATTTCCAGTCTTGCTTGTTTAAACTCAGAGCATTTTGTCTAATTTAATACAAAATTAAAATAATAAATATAATTACTGTTATCATCCAATGTAACAATTAATGTCTATACTAACTCTATATACTGTAATACAATCCATCTCAATCCAAGTGGCACAACACATGTACGCGGGATCTTGGTTAAACGGAGTGTGATTGGGTAATTTAGTATTGAAACACTTATCGACATCTTGATAAATCTTTAGAAAACACGGGTCTCCAGCCATACCATCGATAATATTATCAACAGTTTTGGCTAAAAGTTTGTTTAGAAACGATTCACCATAGGCGCTATGGGCCACCACCAACAATGCAGCTAGCACAATTAATTTCGACATTGTTATGTTCATTTTGCGTTTAAACTGAGTAAATATACTTCTTTACTGGCTTATATACGGTCTATTTTCTAAAATACAAAATGTAGATGTATTAATTTGGTAAATTTTGCACACTGCATTCTGATGATTAAATAACAAACATTTAATAGTCATCAACTCGTTTTACACTTTGTTTGTTAACAATGTAAAGTCAGCATATTATAATCCAGGTGTTTTATTTTAAATAATTATATACTAGATATCAGCCATTGATTACAATAAAAGTCTCTTATTATAAAGTTTATAATATAACACTCGCTCAATACATCATTCCCAAAGATTTTATTATATTTAAAAATATAAAATCATGTAATCTACATGTTAAGATTATCAATAAACATTTATTTGTTTATTTATTTTAGTTATTGGGAATATAAACAGAAAATGGTTTGTAAGAGATATGTCATACGCTACACACGATAAACCCTCTCCCATAGCACTCCCATATTAAACCTCATTCTACATCTATATCGCCGGTTTAATTAGTAATATTGATTTTATTAATCAAATCTGTGCACATACTATTAAAAATAATTGTAAAATTTTATATTATCCTTAATTTATTTAAAATAATAACACAACACATGATGGTTGAAATAAAGACATGAGTTTCTCAAACTTTAAGATCTACGTTATTTGCTAATTTTAATTGCAAAATAAATCAACTCATTGTACATAATAAATATACCAACAATTTTAAAAATGAACCTGTAAAGTAATATTAATTTATAAATTTTATTTACACTTAATATATAATTATGTAACAATTGGAAAATATATCGAGAATCATAATTTTATTGTCTTTAACAATTAAACATTAATACATTTGTATTATGATTAATTAATTAATTAAAATTTAATTATCATATTCTGCCATCAATTCAAACAAAATGTAATATTTTATTTTTAAAAATCAATTAAAACTGTAAAATATTATTGACCAGTTTGGGTAAATAATTTAGTTTAATCATGACCATTTATATACGGTATCCTTGACATCATTGTTTTGTATATATTAATAAGATGACAGAAAATATCTATTATGAAAACAAGGTTATTTAAATTTATCACATTTATAAATTTTATATTGAAATCAATTTATTTAAAACTTAAAATTGTTAATTCTCTTACATGTTATAAATTCAGGCTAGACAAACTCTCCATTTTAGTTACCTTAGCCACCTGCCACCCCTTAAAGGCATGCACTACCAAGGTGCAATTTTATCATGAACTTTTCGTAAAAAGTGGGTGAAGGTAACTAAAATGGAGAGTTTGGCGAGCCTGATTATAAATTATATAATTAATAAACATGTACAGTAATTCTCATTTGTTAGATAACAACACGTTTGGTTTAATGTAAAATAATTATTGGCTTTATTTTAATCATCATAATTAAATTTAAACATTGCTCATGAGAGAGGTAACCGTTATCATTATATTAATTTTTAATAAATTACATTTTGAATGTTTAACAACTTTCATTACAGTTTATATTAATAATTATTAAGAATATCTATTAAACTATAATCTGCATTAAAAAACCTAATTTAATTATGATTATAATTAATTAAATATTTTTGAAATATTAATTGGGCAAATGGGCGAAGTGTAAATGGCTAGGGGGTTTTACCTATCACATTTTAAGTATAGTTGTTTTTTGCGTAAAAAATACATTTTTACAAACAAATATGTGATTGAAAACTCGGATCCAATGTCTCTCTATGAGAGGCTACCGGTGCTAACCGTACAGACAATACAGTGAAAAATGTTTGGCGCCGGCAGTCATGTAGTGTTGTTTTTATCAATGAAAAGTCTCTGTGTGTTTGTACCGACAGTCGATGGGGCCGGAAATCAATTGCATTAATGTAAAAGTAAAAACTTTAAGCCACAAAAAAGTATTGAATGAAAACTAAATCTTAAAAAAACTATTCATTCAAAAAGTTTATTCATTGAGTTATATATCAAATAGTGTTTGCCATTAAGATATAGAGTGGTTATAATAATCAGTACTCACTACCACGAGTGGCCAAACAATACTACCCTATGGGCGCAACTGCTAGCAAAAAGTACCGGCGCTATCGGCGGCTATTGACCCGGGCCTGGACAGCCACCGCACCGCAAACCATACGGCCGGGCGATATCATCAAGATCAAACTGCAGGACACGGATGGCGATTGGGCCAACCATTGGGCCCTATGCGACCACATCGATCAGTTCGGTCACGTGTACTGTTACCACGTTGTGACCGACGATCGGGACCTGGACAAGAATGTGACCCGTCGAGCGCTGGTCCGGTACGAGACACTCGAGCGCATTATATACAGTAAGGGCCACCACTCGAGCGCCGAGCCGGCCCGCTATCGGGTGGCCAATCAGCGCCGGTTGGCCCGTAAGGTGTTGTGGACTGTGGGCCGACAGGTGCCCGAGTGGCAGGACTTGGCCGCCGATCTGGAACCACTGCCCGGCCAGTACGTGGACTATCACTGGAAGGTAAGTTTGAGTTTTTAAAATTAATTAATTTTGGTATTGTTTTATTTAATTTATTGTTATTTTTTGCATACGATTTGTTGGACACCCCGTATAGACACGTAATGAAGAGCATTACTGTACGCACTGGCGGTACGCCATCGGCTGGTCGACCGATATATACACTGACCATCAGATTGTGGACAAAACCATCGATCAGATGGCGATACTTACGCGCCGGACAACCGCTAAGGAGGTCGCCGGTTGACTACTGCCCCCATTCCCCTCTACTGCTGACCCCCAACCCCCTGTATTACTTACACCCGGTGTTTAGTCCCCCCATTTCTATGTGCTTTTATAACTATAATCATTATATTTATCATGTTTTTAATTTAATTTATATTTAATCGATGTATTGTTTTTTTAAACTAAAATTTTTAATAATTTTATAAATTTTTGTTTTTTTCTAATTTAATCATTACTTATAATTACTTAAGACATTGTATTAATTTAATAGAAAACTAATGTAAAATCAGTATTTTATCCAATTTTTACCATGTTTTTAATGCACAATCAATATAAAGTAGTTTTTCATTTTAATGCCATTTAAATAATTATAGTCGTGTTTTTATCATGTGTTTTTCAATTTATACACTACTTATAATTACAATAAATAAATGTAAAGTAAATATAATTTAAAACAATTAAAATCAATAAATGTTAAAATGTGTAAAATTAAAATTTTTTATTTTTCATATTTTGTGTTTTATTTTGCATAACGCATATATTGGACACAAAAATTACATTAATGGTTTAAGATATGCCCATATTTGGGCACACACTCTCTCCCCCATTAATAACTACCCCTACACCACGACGAGTGCAAAATAACATTACTTACATACAGTGTAACCCATGTATACCTAACTCGCAATGTATTGTAACCAATGCTAAAAACGATTGAAAATGGTATTTTTGCCATACATAATATCGGGCATCGACTGTATGCCAAGTGTACAGTACATCCGGGTCTGACTGTCGGCATTACATCAAACAAATACCCATTCATTGACACTAAAAAAGTAATTACAAAAAAAAGTTCAAAAACCAAATCATTCAACAAAACAAAAATTTTTCATTCAATCACTTGTTGTCAACCAAACCACACATAACTCACCAAAAAAGTTACCGCAAACTAAAACTAACCCAAAAAAACCAGTGAAAAACAATGGGTAACCTATTGTCTCGCTTTCGTACGCCTCCTATAGTCACCGGAGACCTCATTGAGATCTTAATACCGGTGCCGACCGACGACCCGCACACCGTAACCGTCGGCCGCAACCGTAGCCACTGGGCTCTGGTCGAGTCGGTCGACCCGCGCGGTAACATCCGCTGCTATCACTTGGCCCGCGACCCCCTGACGGCGNTAAATAAATTGAATATTTCTGTTATAAATAGCTTAACATTTGTGTCAAAAAAGATAAACAAAACAATTAATAATATATAAGAATATAAGAGTTTTGGGAGTTAATGGTTGGCCCGGTTTGGAGAGAGAGAGAGAGAGAGAGAGAGAGAGAGATGACCAGGGATGTCCGTGACTTACGGGCAAATGGGATTTAATGGCATTAATAACAATAATACATATATTTTTATGAGAAATTGATGTTTCTGTAAGTTATGACCAAAATTATGCACAAAGAAAATCAATGAGAAATTCCCTATAAATATCTCTCAATACTAACTTATATTTACCACAACGTAATGGAGTTACGAGACATTTATATTTAAATGTCAGTTACTATTTTCATAACTGAATTTCTAATACAATTTGTTCACAAAAATAGTACATAAATTATTGTATAACTTAAATAAAAAGTAGAGTGGTAAATATGTTGATATACATGTACATAAATACATTTATATATTTTACCTGCTTATATTTTATCCGGTATTTATTAGTAACGAAGTGTGGGCTTTGGTTATATAAGTTGTGTACAATTATATGTATAATTAAACTACCGGTTTGTGATGCAGTCGTCAGAATGATTGTCAGTTAGTATTCAATATATAGACGACATCAACACAAATGTTGTTTGACTTTTGATATTATAGTATAGTATATATTAAAATTGTTATTAAGGTATAAGTTATATAACATTACATAACGATAAGTTTAGCGCAATCTTTATGTATTGTGTGCGTAAATCATTAATTCAAAAACAAAAGTAATTTAATTTATTATATTTATAAATAAGTGAATTTTAATGATCACTGGATTTAACAGTTTTTATAACATTTGATGAGTTTTTCTTTATATTATTTTCTAAAAGAATTCTAATTAAAATAATTTATAATAATTTGCAAATCTATGCGCTTATTGTCATAACTTGTGTTTTACATTCATTTTATTTACAGTATATTAAAGATTATTTTGTTTGATAAATGAATTTATATAACGATTCAATATAAATCAGAATTCAAAAAGCATTTCAAAATTACCATAAGATTATTAAGTTTATACACTCTACTGTAGATCTACTATGTCATTATTTTCTAAATAACCTATTTTGAGATGTTTTAGCATGTTCCTATCACTAAATAAGCATGGTAAATTATACCACAATATATACTGTATTCAGTGATGTAGTATTTCGCAACACAAAATTCATAGCACTTTATGAAAATTGATTAAAACACAAGAATTGAATCATAAATATACTAAAATTTGAACAGTTATTCAATGGATATCAAGTCATATATAATTTACATAACTTTACGAATATTTTGTGTAACAATTTCCGACTCTTCTCTGACGACAACTAAACTTCGCTGAACTCAACGAGAAGTGGGCTTTGGTTATATAAGTTGTGTACAATTATATG